GGAATAGCAGTTGGAAACCATAGACTTAAGGAACAAACAAGCTACTCTTTTTTTCTTTTTTGAAAGGGAACATGCTATTTTTAAAAATTGAAGTATAGCTGATTTACAATATTATATTAGTTTCAGGTGTAGAACATAGTGGTTCAATATTTTTATAGATTATATACTCCATTTAAAGTTATCAGAAAATATTGGCTATATTCCCTGTGCTGTACAATATATCCTTGTAGCTTATTTATTTTATATGTAGTAGTTTGTACCTCTTAATCCCCTACCCCTATCTGGCTCCTCCCCACTTCCCTCTCCACACTGGCAACCACTAGTTTGTTCTCTAATATGTGAGTCTGTTTTTTATATTTTATTTTTTAGATATAGATATGTTTTATTTTTTATCATTTTATTTTTTAGATTCTACATATAAGTCATAACATACAGTATTTGTCTTTCTCTTGTACTACTCCTTCACTTTACGTCACCTTTTCCCACAACCCATTTTTGCTCCCAAATCTGAAGAAGACCCAAGAGGAAAGTCCAGAACAAGATATCTCCTCTTCTTCAATCCATCCCCCACACATTATGTAAAAGAGTTTTTCCTCTCCTGTAACAGAAGTTAGCATTTTGGTTCTTGGCTATGGTATTTCTATGTGCTGTGCCCTTTCCTGGTTTCGGTTGGATCTTAAATTCCACCTCTTTGTTTTATAGGGCTGGATGGAGAGCTGGAAATGTGGGGATGACATTTTGTTTGAGATCCATGGAGGCCCTTGGGAATTCAGGCCAAGGGCTACTTCTCTTGCCAGTTGAGGGAGCCTCACTGTGTGGCTAGGCAAAACCCACCCCCTCCCCTACCTGGTTATCCAACAAACTCTGAATCTTTCCCCTCTTCTCTGACTCCTTTGGGTGCCTCCTGGTGGTGCTGTCCATCCCCCTCTCTGTGCCTGGTGCTGACTCCACTTAGCCTCTGTCTTAGTCTGTTCAAGCTGCTATAACAAAAATACCATAGACTGGGTGGCTTATAAACAACAGAAGTTTATTTCTCACAGTTCTGGAGGCTGGGAAGTCCAAGGTCAAGATGTCAGAAGATTTGGTGTCTGGTGAGGGTCTGCTTCCTGGTTCATAGATGGCTGTGTCTTCTTTTTTAAATTATTTATTTATTAATTTATTTATGGCTGCGTTGGGTCCTCGTTGCTGCACGTGGTCTTTCTTTAGTTGCGATGAACAGGGGCTACTCTTTGTTGTGGTCAGTGGGCTTCTCATTGTGGTGGCTTCTCTTGTTGCAGAGCATGGGCTCTAGGTGTGCGGGCTTCAGTAGTTGTGGCATGCAGGCTTCAGTAGTTGTGGCTCGCGGGCTCTAGAGCACAGGCTCAGTAGTTGTGACGTGTGGGCTTAGTTGCTCCGTGGCATGTGGGATCTTCCCGGACCAGGGATTGAACCTGTGTCCCCTGCATTGTCAGGCAGATTCTTAACCATTGCGCCACCAGGGAAGCCCCGGCTGTGTCTTCTTGCTGTGTCCTCACATGGCAGAAGGGCTGAGGGAGCTGCCTGGGGTCTTTGTTATAAGGGCACAAATCCCATTCATGAGGGCTGTACCCTCATGACCTAATCACCTCCCAGAGGCCCACCTTCTAATACCATCACTTTGGGGGGATAGGTTTCAACATTTGAATTTTGGTGGGGGGCGGGGAGACAAATATTCAGCCTCTAGCAGCCTCTCTCACTATCTAGTTTACATGTTTTGTCTCTTCTAAATGGTAAGATTCTGGAGGGTCTGAATCATGTTTTCTTTCTTTTTTTTTTTAATCATATCTATTTTTTAAGATCTTCACATAATGCCACATGACTCCCTAAAGTTTCTAGAATCTACACAAAAAAATTGACCAAGCTTCTAACTAGTCAAAACAATGAAGAAAATACAATTAGATACAAGAATCACAGAGTTCACAAAATAAAAACAAAGCAGTGGTTATAAGTAACTATGCAATAAATTTGACAATCTGGATAAAATTGATAAATTTCTTTCTTTTTTTTTTTTTAATGCAGCTTACCAAAACTGACACAAGAAGAAATAGAAACCCTGGAGTCTTTATCTATTAAAAAGAAATGATTTTATAATTAATCAGAGGCTTAAAAGCATTAAATTCTATACACATTCATATGAAATTTCAGCAAGTTAGAAACAGAAGGAACCTTATCCAACTTGATAAAAGTGGAGATCAAATGACAGAACTGCCCATGAGGGACTTAGACTTGGGTCACAGGCAGAGTTGCCCCGTAGCTAGTAGTGTGGAACAAGTTAGGGACCATTTTCTCTGACTCTGGCACCTTGTGAAGTGGGAGTTTGGGCATCTAGAGACAGCATAGCCATGACATTCTTATGTCCACTGGCAGGGGTAAGGCTCTGCCATGCCGTTTCCCAGACAATGGGCATGAATGAAATGGGCATCTGGGCAGGACAGGGAAAGCTGTGTTAGGTGCCTCCAGAGGAGTGAAGTCAGGATAGCAGAAGGGGTTATGACTGGAAGGGATATGCAAGGGGCTTCTGGGGCACTGGGAATAATCTCTTTCATGATCTGCGTGCTGGTTAAAGAGATGTGCTCAGTTTATAAAAATCAATTCAGCTATCCCCTTTTAATATGCACACTTTTCTCTCTGTGTATTACACTGCAATAAAAAAGATTTTAAAATAATTTAAAATGCTTTTAGCCTCTATGTGTCCAGCACCAGGAGTTACAAAGATCCCAGTGCCTTGGCCTCTTCCCTTGAAGTTCAAGGGACTCAGAGTCTAGGGACTCCTGAGCCAAGGGACTCAGGAAAGCTCCTGTAGAGAGGCCACGGTAACGCAGCGTGAGAAGCACTCCTTCAGTGTGGCTGCAAGGGGACTGGGAGAGTCAGAGAAAGGGGCCCGAACTCTGCCATGGAGGGTCATGAAAAGTGAGTTTTAAGCTGAGGCTTGGAGGACGGGTAGGAGCGTTTTCCGTAGACCAATGTGCAGATGTTGGGAAGGGGAGGAGGAGAAATGGTGGGAGGGAGGACATTCCAGGTCCATGAGAAGAGAAGATAAAAAACTGCCAATCTCCAGTCCCATCAAAGACACAGTCACAGTAGAATAAATAATGTCCCTCAAAGCAAAATATGCAGCCTATTAATATAGGCTTATGACAGCTATTGGACACATAAGACTTACTGAGAACAGGGGTGTGAACCATGTTTTCTTTTTTTTCTCTCTTTCTTTTTTTGCGGTACGCGGGCCTGTCACTGTTGTGGCCTCTCCCATTGCGGAGCACAGACTCCGGATATGCAGGCTCAGCGGCCATGGCTCACGGGCCCAGCTGCTCCGCGGCATGTGGGATCTTCCCGGACTGGGGCACGAACCCGTGTCCCCTGCATTTGGCAGGCAGACTCTCAACCACTGCGCCACCCGGGAAGCCCCACATGTTTTCTTTATTCACTGCCTGCCTCATTCTATCAGCAAGCAGTGCTGTCACCCCCCGTGTCCACATACATTCATCTGTTTTAGGCTTAATGTTGAGCACACTGCCTTTGATCAAGAAATGAATCCACCACTTTTCAGAGATTTTCCCGTTTTCTGAATCCCCTTCTTCTTCCCTAACCAAGTTGCTTTGGGAACTAGGGAACTAGCTGCCCCTCCTCTCATAGTGAGAGAGGTCTGGAAGTCAGCTTCATGGGTAAACTGAGGCTCCCCCAGGTGCTTGCCCTTTCACGTAACAAGCTGTCCCAGAAAAACCAGTTTGGACAGCAACTTCTTGTCTAAACACATCTCTAGAAAGCCCCATACAGAGAACACTAGTTTCCTATGTGATATCCACTCTCTCCTTCTTTCTTAGAAACAGACCCACAATGTTATTCCAGATGGCATGTATTCAGTAAAAAGACTATGATTCTCTGCCTCTCTTGTAGAAGATGAAAGCAGAAATTGTTGGATGGAACTTCTGGGAAATACTTTTTTGCCATTCCATCCTACGTGCCTCCTGTCATTTGAAATGTGGATGTGATGGCTGGAGCTGCAACAGCCATATTGAGGTCACAAAGAAAAGGCTAAAAGAATCACAAAGACACAGTACTAATTTTTTTGATTCTTAAGCCACTGAACCAATGCCAGTAATTATCCACACCTACATTTCACATTAAAAAAATAGACCATTGTGTTCAAGTCACTGTAGTCAGTTCTGTTACTAGCAACTGAAAGCAATTCCTAATTGATACACTGAATTAGAGGGTAGCTCAATGAATACTCAAAGGCCTTAGTTACAGGGAGCTGAACTCTTATAAAGCCACAGTTCTCAGAAGTTCTTCCTTTGCTGACAAGCCCTAGTGCCAGTCTTCTCTGAGTTAAGTGAGATCTTTGTGGTATTCCCAAATTTAACTTCTTCAGTGAAAATGAAACATGAAAGCCACCGGGCTCCCTCCCTTGATAAGCAGTTTTAGGAAAGCAAGTCATCATCTCCGTTTGACGTGTGGTCACCTGGTAAAAGCATTGCTGATACCATGCCTGTGAGCTACATGTTGAAGTTCTCCAACATCTGGCAGCTGAGCTGCTACTGGCTTTTTTAAGCACGAGTAAAACCAAGCATTCAAATGTTCCCAATTTAGCCCCTTAAGCATTACGTTGGGTGCCTCTACCTTGGCCCACAGCTGCCAGCAATTCAAAGCTCTTTCTTATACAGACATTTTCAGTTTTTTTAGTTTGTGCGTTCTCCTCATTCCCAGTGGTGGTAAAGTCACACTGGAGGAATTTTTATAGAGGCAGTCACTGTTGTATCTTACTAGCCATAGGTTTCCCTGGGGCTGGGGTGGTTAGAAGAGATCAGGAAAACCTGCCACGAAGCTGGAAGCCCCGTGTCCTCTTAACCCCTTGTAAAGAGCCGATTCCTCACTGTAGCGAGGCCCTCATCTCAAGCAGCCAGTTTTAAGTCATAGTGGTGCCATCGGGGTGGTGGTAGGAATAGCAAACCCCACTTTCTTTCTCCTTCACACCTGGGCAGGGTGAGAAGCTGGGTCGGTGGAAGGCACAACTGTGGAACAGATGGACTCCATCCTCAAGGGCCAACCATCACATCTTGTGGACCCCTTCATCCGCTGATGGTGCTGCCCAGGACCTGAGGGTTCTTAGACCACCCTTTCTCCGGTCGTGCTCCAGGTTAGTGCCACCTTCTGCAAGAAATGTGTGGAATCAGAGAATATCAGCACTAGAAGGTGCTTCAGAGACTGCCTCACCCCACTTTCTAATTTGACATATGGGTAAAATGAAGTCCATAGCAGAGAGATGACTTGTCTCGAGTCACATTACTAGTTAGTGGCCTAGCTTTAGGTCCTGACCTTAGGCCAGTATGTTTGGCCCAGTAACAGATTTCTTATCTAGTGTTCACTGTGTATGGGGGGTGCTGGTGTAAGATATATATGGGGTGTGTGTGTGTGTGTGTGTGTGTGTGTGTGTGTGTACAATCTTTCCCATTTTATGCATGAGGAATATAAGGCATAGAGAGGTTAAGTAACTTGCCCAAAGTCACAGCTAGTAAGTGACGGAGTCAGGATTTGAACTCAGGCAATCTGGCTCTTCTCTTGAGCACTGCACTACCCTGACATACTAGTGCCCAGTCTTTATTCACTTCCGGTCCAGGGGAGGGATCTCTAATAAATTCCTTGGCCAGAGGATTCCTGGCTTGATATCTTACCCCTGGAGGAACGTTTCCCAAAACATGATAGCAAGTGGTACTAAACCAATGAACCAAAACTAAAACAAAACAAAAATAAATTCCATGGTCAAATAAATTTGCAATGTTGTATTAAAACAAATTAAACAGTATTGTTTTTACCACAGAACTTCTCAGGGCCTTTAATATGCTAATGGACGTTGTGAATTCTCTAAGAGAGTCTAAAAGCATTTCCTAAACATTTTGGACCATAAAACATTTTTTCATGCAATGATGTCATCACACAACCATGTGGCTTCTGGAAAACTTGATTGAGTAAAAAAGGCAAATTGTGACTTCTTATTATTACGAAAATAGTTTTGACCTGAAGAATCCTCTAAAATGGAAAATAGTTTTGACTCAAAGATACCCCCCAGGGTTCCCTGGAATACACTTTGAGAACTGATGTCCTAGAAAATAATATGTTAAAAATAAGACTTGAAGCACATGATCGTGGGCTAATTATCAACTTACCCTTGTAAAGGACAAGGAGAAAAGCAAATGAAAGAAGATAGGTGTGTTTTAAGAATCGGCCTCTCATTCTACTAACTCCTTCTTTTCCTTTTTTCTTTCTTATCTTCTCTTCCCTCTCTTCCTTCCATTTAAAAATTCCTTGTTGCTCCATAAAGGATTTAAAGTAGCTTACTCTTCCAGTGAGTCAACATTCTTGTTGACAGAGACGTATTTAAGAATAAGTAAAGTGTTATTTTAGCGGGGCTCCTGACCCTTCACCCTATCCCCCCAATTCTCCTCGACTTGCACCCTAGAGGTCAACCTGAAATTTCTATCATTAGCATTTTGTTTATCTGGGTAAAGCCATGTCTTTCTAGAAAGAGGCCTGAGTTCAGATACGATTTGGGTATGGCGGGAGGTGTGACACGTTGGGCTACGGCGCCTGAGCCTTTGCACAAGTGGCTCAGATTAGGAAGCTCGTCCTGGATGAGAATCCTGAGGGACTGGGACTCAGGATGGGGAAGTACTGCAGCGGCTACCTGCATGAGACCCTAGAAAGCGAGGTGCCCCGATGAGAAGTAGCTGCTCTTTCCTTTTTAGGGAGATATCCAAAGGTGCACTTTATTCATTTAACAATTTTACCGGGGGTCTGCCCTTGATCTGAGGTCACTGTGCATTTATACTAGACCAGAGGTCTTTGAACCTGACCTCAACCTTCAGGACAAAGCCAGTGCAGCATTCGGAGAAACCCAGACCAGGTGGGAAAAATATGTCTGACTGGGTAGCACAGGGCCCTCCTTTGTAACACTGGCCAGTGCAATGTAATGTCCTTTGCTTACAAAGCAGTTACCCTGCGGGAGAATGCTCCCCTCCCCACAATCTGGGACCAGATGGAGAATCACCAGCTGGAGGGACAGTAAGTGTCCTCTCCCTCTTGAGAAGAGCACCAGCTCCCACGCTTCTTTGTCTTTTCCATCCTCTCGGTTTTGGGGCTCCTGCCAGGTGATGCTAACACTGAATCACCAACTCTTATACTTGCCACTGGCATGCACCATATGGTGCACTTGAGCCCCAGGTGTGTGCCAGGAGAGTCCTTAGCTGTTTGCTTGGAGCGGGCTTGCACGGTTGGTGTGCTTCTCATCAAGGCAAACCCGTCCAACTGAGCATTTTATAAACAAAACAAGTTTTATTAGGAGTTTCCCACATACATTAGTAACACATACTCCTTTTAGAAAATACAGATGAGAAAACGGAAAAGTTGTCCATAATCCTATCACCCAGAGATAAGGACAGCCAGCTTTAGATGAGAATCCTTCCTTCCCTCCTGTTCTCTATCTCTCGCTTCCTAGGCAGCTACCAACACCTGTGGAAGGTCCCAGGTGGGGTCCATATGTGGCCAGAGGAGTGGCCACTATTCCACCCTCCCCTCCTTCCACTGATTTGCATCAATGGTCTACACAGCAGAAGGGGCCAGATTTTGTGTGTGAATTCTCAGGCTTAGAGGGTAAATGGAGAGGACGGCATGGAGTTGGGCCCCTTTCTGCCTCAGGGATGGATGGATCTGATGGGGGGCAAGAAGGGGAGGAGGAGAGGAGCCCACTCCACAGCTCTGGGTAGAGTTCAGTGTGTCCCACACAGTGAGGACTCTGAGAAGTGCAGCTCTGCTCAGGCAAGTGACGGGAGGGAGGACGTCCGTTCTCCATCATGTATTGAAGCTGTTATTTTTTCTCTCGGGACACCCCTGTTGTGGAGTGGGGTCCTCAGGCAGGAATACCACCCTCTCGGCCAAGTATCTGCCACTTTTAACTCCTGGTTCCTGCACTCACCATTGATGCTGCTTTGGTATTCCTTTTAGACTTCCTAATTTGAAGTCTATATTTAGTTTTTTCTGCACTAGAACACGCACAGCAGTTAAACGTGAAATCCAAGATGTCATAAACCAGCAGCCTACTACTATTCCGTATAAAATGTGTGGGGAGACATCACAAGCATTCAGGGGCTGTGATGAATCACCTCATGTTCTCAGCATCTCAGCATCTCAGCATCTCACTTAATTCTTCAAATTAAGCAGGGAAAGAGCTGGGGAAAGTTGGGCTCTTCTGAGGCCAGCACCGGCCAGCTAGAGCGAATCCTCTCTGCTGGCTCAGCTTCTCCACCAGCAGCCCCTGCTGGCTCACCTGTTTATTCTGCAATTAGCATTAGAAGGAGACTCATGGGGAAATTTTTGCTTGGGGGCCCAGGATTTATATTTCAGAACTTCTTCCCCTCATTAGAGCACCGGATTCTGTAAGGAGAGTTTGAAAACAATAGCTCTCAGTGCTCTTCCAATAATACTCTTGATAATAATCCTTGGTAATTTCAGTATCCTCAAATGCAGTCTTTCTCTTTTTTTTGCGGTACGTGGGCCTCTCACTGTTGTGGCCTCTCCCATTGTGGAGCACAGGCTCAGCGGCCATGGCTCACGGGCCCAGCCGCTCCACGGCATGTGGGATCTTCCCGGACTGGGGCACGAACCCGCGTCCCCTGCATCAGCAGGCGGACTCTCAACCACTGCGCCACCAGGGAAGCCCCCACATGCAGTCTTTCTAATACTTAGACTCCCAGTTCTTCAACTTCCTTTCCTCCCAGTGATGGAAGGAATTCCTTTATGGAATCTTTTTTTTTTTTCCTGTCTCACATGGAATAGTGCTTTTATTTATTTATTTTTAAAAATTGTATTGGAGTATAGTTGATTACAATGTTGTATCAGTTTCAGGTGTACAGCATAGTGATTCAGTTATACATATACATATATCCATTCTTTTTCAGATTCTTTTCCCATGTAGGTTATTACAGAATATTGAGTAGAGTTCCTTGTGCTATACAGTAGGTCCTTGTTAATTATCTATTTTATATATAGTAGTATGTGTATTTTAATCCCAAGCTCCTAATTTATCCCTCCCCCCAACATTTCCCTTTTGGTAACTGTAAGTTTGTTTTTGAAATCTGTGAGTCTGTTTCTGTTCTGTAAATAAGTTCATTTATATGGTTTTTTAAAAATTAGATTCCACATATGAGTGATATCATATGATATTTGTCTGACTTACTTCACTTAGGTGAAGGAAGGTCCACCCATGTTGCTGCAAATGGCATTATTTCATTCTTTTTTATGGCTGAATAATATTCCATCGTATATGTGTACCACATTTTCTTTATCCATTCCTCTGTCAATGAACATTTAGGTTGCTTCCATGACTTGGCTATTGTAAGTAGTGCTGCAATGAACATTGGGGTACGTGTATCTTTTTGAATTATGTTTTTCTTCGGATACACGCCCAGGAGTGGGATTGCTAGATCATCTGGTAGTTCTATTTTCAGTTTTTTAAGGAACCTCCATACTGTTCTCCATAGTGGCTGTACCAATTTACATTCCCACCAACAGTGCAAGAGGGTTCCCTTTTCTCCACACCCTCTCCAGCATTTGTCGTTTGTAGACTTTTTGATGATGGCCATTCTGACTGGTGTGAGGTGGTATCTCATTGTAGTTTTGATTTGCATTTCTCTAATAATTAGTGATTTGTATTTCTCTGACAGTGATGTTGAGCATCATTTCATGTGCCTTTTGGTCATCTGTGTGTCTTCTTTGGAGAAATGTCTATTTAGATCTTCTACCCATTTTTTGATTGGGTTGTTTGGGTTTTTTTTCCATATTGAGCTGCATGTGCTGTTTGTATATTTTGGAGATTAATCCCTTATCGGTCACTTTGTTGACAAATATTTTCTCCCATTCTGTGGGTTGTCTTTTCATCTTGTTTATGGTTTCCTTTGCTGTGCAAAAGCTTTGAAGTTTCATTAGGTCCCATTTGTTTACTTTTGTTTTTATCTCTGTTACTCTAGGAGGTGGATCCAAAAAGATATTGCTGCGATTTATGTCAAAGAGTGTTCTGCCTATGTTCTCCTCTGAGTTTTATAGTGTCTGGCCTTACATTTAGGTCTTTGATCCATTTTTAGTTTA